ATTATCATCAAACCAACCACCTCAGCAACCCAATGCAATAATCAACGATCAGGTGGCGCACAATCAAAATAAGTCCGACCTGTTATGTTGGTCTTCATGACTAGCAAAATTTCCAGCACATCTGACAGCGTGATGTTGAAGCAAAGGGATACCACTGGCCCGATGCGTTACAGAAGCAAAAAGTGGATGGCACAGCAAAACCGGTTGAATATGACTACAGCGGTGTTCCAGATGTACCTAAAGAGAAAGTAATTGAAGTCTCTAGCGAGTTCGGCTGAGGATGAAGTTTGCCTGTGATGGGAGGTAGTTCCAAACATCTGAGGCACCACCAGATTGTTGATTCCAACGAGTATCTGAGGGGTGGCCCAGGTTACCTGGTGGTGGTTCAGGACAAGTTGAAAAAGGAAATTCTGAAGCCGCCGACTTCAAGAAATAATAAGTGATTTTGCATGGCATCAAAAGTCTGAAAATATACTCTGACAAGTGAATGCGATTAATTTGGGCGAACACCAACCTTTGTTTGTTGTTGTTAATGATCTGAAGCAACGTGCTTACGTCACGTGCACCTCTGTTGTCGGTTACCATTATTCTAAAAACTCATTGATCGGGGGAGGTTGTTGTCGTTTCGAACATTGTAAATTGAAAGCACCTTCATTGACAACATGATCGGTGCAGGAGTATTGCTGCCAAGATGGTGCAATGTAGAAACATAACAAAATGCTTACCTTTGCATATTTCCGACTGAAACACGTCGTGATCACTTGATGCTGGAGCCAACGGGCAAACAATGCCAAAAAAACTACCCTGGTTAGCCGATCCGCTATCGCAATTTTATGTGACTTGACGTTATGTACAACAAAATGCTGGCGGCAATGATACTTCTTCAATCCCAATAGCCTCGGTCGATTCATTCTGCGGTAGATGTCTGCATAGTCATATGTGATACCACATGGGAGAAGTAGCGGATATGGTCCTCGATCTCCTGAATGCTTCAAACACTTCTTCAAAAGCAGTTAGAGTTGCAAGGGGCCAGTACTCATAGTGCGCAGGCTCCGAGTCGATTGGTGTCTGATGCAGCGGAGGTCACCCGTCTGAATCGGCTTAGTCACCCAATGATCCAAATAAGTCGCTGAGCAAACAAAAATTAGCCCTTTTCGCATGGAAGTACCACGTGTTCAGTTTTGAGAATAAATTGACCACAGGTCTCGATTCGAATCGTCGTATACGACCATTAGCGCTCCATGACGACTTTGCCCATTAGTGACACCAATACCATCGCAGTGGTGCAGACTGCAATCCAACTCAAGACCTAGGTGCGTGGACTCTACCGTGATCTGCGCTGCACACTGATTACGTGCAGGGTGGTCATCTAGTCTATGCAGCTCTCCTCTGGCCAACAGGCGGTACGGGCCCTGTGTGGGTAATGGCTCCCATCAGGATCGAGCCTGAGGGTCAGCGGACCATCTTCAACTGTAGCCAATGGCTGGGCGGCATGGACATGGACAATCTGGAAACGGCCACACTCTCGATCACCACCATGAAGGGCGGGGTGGAGGAGACCCATACACTGACCATCATGCATGCCACTCAGGAAGTCGGCACTAAGCATCCAGTGAACTCTTCTATCCTGGGTATGCTGGATCGGTAATATCCTCGTGTTTCGCAGCAACGAGACGTGCAGCGAGTTTCATGACCTGACAGAGGTCCAGCACAATGCTCAAACAACTGCGTAATGTCATACATGGGTCGTCTTCGAAAAGGCCCTGCTCCCTATCAGCAGGTTCACGCAAAACACTTTGAAGGACATGGCCGTTGACGAAGATGATAAAGTTTACACAGAGTGATTGATTAACCTACCGGATCGCCCACTCATGTTGGACTTATTTGATTTTATGCACTTATGGACTTGGAAGCCATGTGGATTTCAGTGTTGAATGTGTCTTGGAACTATTGTGAGGATGAAAAAAGTATATAAGTACGAGTTTGCCGGGCCGTGCCGCGGCCATTACCCCAAGTTACAGCTTCTCAAGATCTAGACTGGCCTCCAAACAGCGGAAACTGTGGGTCCCTAAACTCCAAAGGGTATTCGCAAGAGTAGACCCCAGTAAAATTGATTGCTCTGACAGGGGGTGCCATGACAGAGGAAAAGTTCAACAATAATAATAAGGAGTTACCTAGTAATAATGTGGAACATTGTGGCGTGAAAGCAAGTAGAGAAAAGCTTTCAAGGCAGATCCGATATCGGCGAAATGGACGAGCATTACCGTCCAGGTAATTCTGTCGGCTCTCTGAGTCATCTCCGAAGTACGAGCAGTTGGGGAGAGTTACGCGAGACCGAAGCGGCATTGTCGGCCGAGATTCGCGACGACGATCGGACAAGGCTCGCATGAGACTTGAAGCGGAGGCGGTGTCGATCAAGCACGCAATGCCTCCATCATTCTTCCGCATTTTTCGGGACGTCCCGCAGCAATCCGCAACAGCCCGCAAGTAGGTCCCAGAACCGCAGAAGTCGTTGTCTTGACTCACAAATGGACGAGGAGACACGGAGAGATGGATTCATCCGTATGCTGGGTTGTGAAAAGCCCCAGACTGCCAGCAGGACCAGATTCCACTCGACAAACGCGGAGTACTGTCGTCGTCTTCAAAACATCGATAGGAATATTAATAGGGACAAGCCAGTAAAAGCTCGAGTATAGAGCAGCGTTGTAAGTCCAACCATCCCTGGTTTCCAGGGACCCCATAATCAGGGCATCGATATTTCGATGGTAGGGAGGGAACGTAGGAAGCTGGATGGCAGTGGAATCGACGATGGAGGTGATCCGAAGTTAGGAGCTGTTGATGAGCGGTCCGAACACCGATCTCGTGATTTTCTTGATTCTGATCCGTGACCGACAACACACAAGCTAAACGGTTCTGGCAGTGAACCGGGGTTCGATTCCCCGCCGGTGCATGCTCCAGCTGTACATTCATTTTACTGCGCGGATTATTTTGCACGGTCACATCTATGTGGCCATTTGCGTTTTTCGCGACGCGCATCTAATTCCATGTAGCAGAGGGGAGCGGGAAGTGTGGTAAACCCACCTTTGGTTCAAATTATAAGTCACATTGGACTGGCAAGAGGACTGCTCGCCATTTTTGTTTCCCACTGCGAGGGATGGTCAAGAGCCACAGAAGGAAGTGAGGGCGCACCGGTGGCGTATGCTACACGCACTGGACTTATGGATCCCTGCCGCAGTGAGCGGTGAGGGGTTCGATTCCCCGCCGGTGCATTCTCCTGCTCTCCGTCTTTTTTCCACTCCCAGGTTTACTTTCGCTCGGACAATCTTCAATCTAGCGAGCCACAGAAAGAAGTGGAGGAACATCGGTGGTGTATGTTACACACGCCGAATTTATCATAGCATGTCAAAGCATGAACGGCGAGCCGGGGTTCGATTCCCCGCCGGTGCATGGTCCAGCTGTACGTTCATTTTACTGCGCGGATTATTTTGCACGGTCACATCTATGTGGCCATTTGCGGAGCAGAGGCAGGGAGCACCGCTGGTGTGTGGTACACATACCAATGTGGTCATTGCATACATGGCCGGCGAGAAGTGGGGTTCAATTCCCCCCTGGTGCGTACGATAGAGACCCGATCCTTTTTCACTGTGATCCAAAAGGACATACGTGGGCATAGAGAGATGCAGAAAAGGGACAGGGTGCACCGGTGGAACACACATTAGTACAGATTATCCGCCACACTGGAATAAAGGTCTTACCGCTCACTGCAACAGCGAAATGTCAATGCATATATACAGTGCGTGTACTGAACACCACCGGTACGTCCCACTCCCTTCTGCGCCTCTAGTATTACATATATGGCTGTAATAGTGGGACATTATTATTATTTACACTACTTGGGGGTTTTCTTGCATAATTTACACTACTTCAAGTGATTTGCAATCTCACGCACAGGTTGGCCCCGCTACATCAAAATTTACACACCTTATCCATCTCACAAATAACACAGGTTCTGAGAGGCATGAAAAATTACACCACTTCACTTTTGCCAAAAAATGGGGACACAGGCCCCTCGAGTAGAAATATGCACAACCTCGGGGCTCAAAATAAATTCACCGCTGAGGAGTTCCTCTGAATACACTATTATCTTTTCAAAAGGCGAGAAAAACACACCTCCAACCTCTTCAAAAATGCACTGGTGCTGACGAGCTCGGAAACGGTTATGCAACCTGCTTCATATGTAGTACAGGGCCGCGCTCCACTGGGACAGGAGCCGTGCAGGATCATTCTGATACCAGTGATCCGCATCCAGGGCACGACGACGCGATGATACCTATTAGCGGGAGCCTAGCATGATAGTATCTACAATGTCTTCAGTGTGTGGCCCCAGTGACTGAGTAAAGGGAGTGTGATTATGTACGAGCTTGGGTGAAAGTACACATGATACGGCCAGGGCTGCGGCAGTCGAGCCTCCGGCTGTGCTTTTGCTCAGCACACTATTTAGATTATTTACAGGACGCCTCCGTCAGCACCACTAGTGCTTGATTGTTGGCTTTAGCCAATTGCGAACAACCGGCCGGTAGGCTGGGACAAGGTATTATGTACATGCATTTTCAGGAGTCATAATGCAGTGTCTTTCTGAAGGACAAGCACAGGTGGTAAATATGCTGGAATTCAAAGCGTGTGCAAAAATATGAAGCCCTGATGGTTGTGTTTTTTTTTTAGCCATGGTCTACCTGTGTGTTCTGGCGGATGTCCACTTTTGTATTTTCTGAGGAAAGTTGACCAGTGTAAATAACGCGAACTTTTGAAGGTGTTTTTTTTTTTTTCATGGTAAAATAGTTGTGTAAATGATAGAAGCACCGGTGCAAATCTGGTGCACACCTGTGTAATTTTTCCATGGAATTGACAATAATAATGTCCCATTATTACCCCCATATACATAGATGCGTGTCGGTGAAAACCAATCCGTGCAGTAAAAAAAGCACAAAGCGGTCCAGTATGGCACCGGCAGGGAATCGAACCCCGTCCCACCGCTCAACCATAATTATAAGTTCAGTGTGTACCCGATACACCACCGGTGCTCCTTCCCTTCCTTCTGTGGCTCCAGATCGAAAACACTCTGAACAAAAATAAACCCGGGAATGGAAACAAATGGGGAGCAGACCCCGTCGGGCCGTGTGATAGAGTGAACTAATCGTTTTTTGCTGCGACTGATAAGGTCATAGTTAGGCATAGAGTTGCAGAACAGGGAGTACAGTACTGCTGGTGGATGGACCCCATGCCGATTAGTACAGATTATTTCTGCCGGCGCATTCGACCACTCCGCATTTTTCGCCCACTGCGAGGGGTTATTTTCGCTCAGAAAATCTATAGTCTAGAACCATAGAAGAAAGGGAGGGTGCACCGGTGATGTATGGTACACACGCCGAATTCATGTCGTCAACGGATCCTATGATACATGGACAGCGAGCCGGGGTTCGATTCCCCGCTGGTGCATTCTTTTCTGCATGTCCGCGTGTTTTAAAAAAATATCCCGCCTGGACCCGGTTCTTTTTGCCTATAAGCATTTGCTTATAGAGCCGCAGACCGGAGCTGTGTCTTATATCGGGGCAAACACCCTGTTGAGTATGCATGACACTTTGTCGAGTAAATTTGATAGCTCGAACGATTTCGATCTGATCCATCGCCCCTCGGAAGTGTAACACAGAGATACTGTGTACAGCCCTGCAGCGAGACCTGGATCAAACTTTGGAAATTCGAGCCTCAACCGTACGCGGCCGGGCACGGCGCCTCCGACCTGGGTCTCGGAGCAGTCTCGCGAAGCGGGATCTGGGCCCGCGTCCGGGCCGCAAGCGAGCCGCGGCTCTGATCCGCACTTCGGGACGATTCGGGATGGGGCAATGACGCGGCCGGGGCTCGATCGAGCTTGCGTCGACTAAGACTTGGCGGTCTTGGACTCAGCGAAAACTTGTCCCGACCCTACGCCGGGCGGGAATGTGCGGGAACGGGCGAACTGACAACTGCAGGATGACGCACGTCGCACGGCCCTCGCCGATATTTTCCAGACATCCTTTTCTTGTGGGCGAGAAGGCCAGTGGAGCAGGGTAGGATTGGAAGGTAAAACAAGAAGCACGCAGCGTGTGGAGAGGCCGTTCCTCAGGGTTTAGTTCCAAGAGGAAGAACGGCAGAACGGCAGAACGGCGTTCTGCCTCTTTGGAACAAATATGGAAGCAATTTCGAAGCCGCATTTATCAGTGACGTCACGGCATGTGCAATGGTCTTGGCCGTGGATCCGTCAAACTTGCATGTCCGCAATTTTCGCTTTATCCAACGCGTTAAATTCGGCTCGTGATGCCCCTGCTCCTCTATCTCTCGCCACAACCACCACCAACCTCTCACCAACCTCACAAAATCACGTTCCTTACCCAGCACATATCCACATCCCCGATGGCCCGCAGAACCATGCCAGGTGCGTGCCAGCGCAGTACCCATTAGGCCCGTGCTGACCCCGCCTTCCGCCATCCCAGCGCTCTCGATCCCGATCCCGCGCAGGGCCGATACCTTCTTCCCGCTCGCCGACGAAGACGACGAGGACGACGACTATAGCTACAACGGCGCGCGGTACACCCTCAACCTCGGCGCGGGCAGCGAATGCGCCTCCCGGTGCGCCTCCGCGTGCCCCACGCCCCCGCCCCGCCCGTCGCCCAAGCCCCTGCGCCTCGCCCCCGCGCCCGTCGTGCCCCCATCCTGGGAATGGCACGCCCCTATCGACCCCGCGCCGCCCTCCCCCTCCTCGTCGCTCTCGGACTCGGACTCGGACGTCCCCTCCCCCTCGCTCTCCTCCTGCCCCTCGCCCTCCGACTCCGACTCGGAAGAAGAAGACGGCACGGACTACTCCTTCCCCGCGCTGCAGCACGCGCGCGCGCGGCAGTCGCGCCGCCACGCGCCGCACTCGCTGAGCGCCGTGCTCGGCCTGCGCGGCGGGCTGCTGTCCGTCGCCCGCGTGCTCGGGTGCGTCGTCGTCGTCGCGGTGCTGGCAGGGAGCGGGCGCTGGGGTGGGGAGCCGATGTGAGCGCCCCTCGCATGCCCACTACTGCTGCTAGCTTCGCACCCACTCACGAATTACTTGTGTACATATACTGTATATCCAACCCTGTACTCCACACTTAGACTCTCATCCTCCGCTCCACGCTTGTCTGTCACTTCACTTCTCAAAACCGCTCACTCTCGTTGCTCTACGGACACGCCTCTACTTTATACGGATACCGGACTAGTACTCGCTCTGGAAATATCATCTTGCAATACCCCCTACATTCCCCGTTTCCTAGGGCTCCTTCCGCAAGAGGAACAAAGACACGAGAAAATGCACGCGAAATTGAGTACACGTCCAAGCTAAGAATTCGGATGTAGTGCATGGTGCACGCCCGCCTTTCGTTGACTGCATATCTTGAAGTCTCCGCGGGAAGCCGGGTTCGATTCCCGCTATCCGAATAATGCGAATGAGAGGGTTTCTTTTTGCGTCTCTTCTCTCTTCTGGTTCCGGGTTCCACCCTCCCACCACAACGTAGTTACCTAACCTTGGGGCAGAAGCTAATTCCCACCAAAGCGAGTTGTACTCGCGTAAGCGTTAAACCTATGCTCCCTGCCTCGATTGATATTGATATTGATATTCTCCCCGTCCGTTGTTCGGGAGGGAATTTGAAGTATATTTTGATTGAGGTGAGCATCCCTCCCATCATGAGTAAAGCAATGAAGAAATGAAGGAGTGTAGACCAGTGACTGTCTGTCATATCAAAAGTAAACTGTCGATAGACAGACCAGTCAATCTGAGTTTGAATTTCCAATGCAAATAAGTTACCTAAAATGGTTATTCATGGGACGGCCTCTAGTTGGTCAAAATCTTCAGTTGAAAATTTCAGATGGCTTGGAGGACCTCAAAAATGATAAGCCGGCCCATCCGAATACAATTGGTTAATTTTTGAGTGCACTAGCGACGATTGATGCATTATTGCGCTTGTTTGTCCCCGCACGGAACACCGGTCCGGAATAACCTTTTTAGGCAATTTATTTGCATCGACATTTAAAACTCAGATCGACCAGAGGACATTTGGGAATTGAGAGAACCGGCGCGATCGGTGCACGGCGATGATCGAAATGCACGGCGGCAATGGCGGCATCTCGGACCTTGATTCAGCAGTGCCCCCATCAGATCGAGCCTGATGCCCGATCAGATGCTATTGATGCGTGTCTTGGTGATGGCGGCCCCGACTCGAAAAATACAGAATAGACACAGCGAGAAATACAGAATTATGCTACATAGTACAGAGTTCGCCCCGTCAAGCGCACACACCACACTGCGCGTTATCCTTCGACAACTGGACAGTCGCGGACGTGATCTTCCGGACCGGCAGTCCTCGCTCGCTCGCCACATGACCTCGTACTCCGCCCCCCCGTCCACTTGAGTGTCGAGTTGTTCTTCAGCCCCCTTGGGAGTCCCGGGCGCCTGCGCGAGCGACCACAGCGCGACACGCGCAGTGAAGGCTGTGAAGTTAGGGGTGCATACCATTTATCTAAGTAACCACGTTGGAAGAGACATCAACGACGAGGCAGCCGAGATGCAGGATGGGCAAGAAGTTGTTCTCCAAGAGGAGGAAGGGAGGGAGCGCTGATGGAGGAGGGAGAGGAGAGGAGACGGAGATGTTAGGATTTGCGCGCCACATCAGCCCATCAAGCTTTTAGTGGATGCTGCCGGCATGCCGCCGTGCATCGAAATGGATTGATGCCGGTTCTCTCAATACCCAAACTTTCACGACCAGCCTGTCTATCAACAGTTTACTTTAGATACGACAGGCTGGATTCGAGCCTAGAAGGAGTGCACAATCTCTCCCCGTCCCAGCTGCAAACACCGAATTCGTCGCACCCAAATGGACACGCGTCTATGCCAAGAATTCGGATGTGGTGCATGGTGCACGCCCACCTCCGTTAACGCGATCATTAAAATCTCCGCTTCCCGCCATCCGAATGCGTCGGCGGCGGACAACAGCTTTTTTCTTTTTTGTGTCTCTCCTCTGTTCTGGCTTCGAGTTCCACCCTTCCACCACAGCGCAATTCCCTGACCTTAACGCAGAAGCTAATTCCCACCAAACAATCGCGCCAGCTACCATAGGTCCCCTACATTTCGTCAATCAGCGAGGTGCGTGCCAGCACTGAGCCCTCAAAATTGTGCACGCACATAGATCCAACACAGGAAACAGGAGTATGAACTCGGACGTGGTGCACGGCGCACACCAGCTATCCATCCATAAGCTCTAGTAGGATAATGCCAGAAACTGGGTTCGACTCCCGGCGTCCGAATGGATCGCCGACAATTGTTTTTCTACTTTCCGCCTCGCATTTTAACTCGGGATGAGGTATGTGGGCCCTAGTCGGAGGAAATTTAAGTAAGGTAAGCGAGGTGTGAGATTTAAACAGTTCCGGATTAGGAGAGGATGGGCCGAAGTGTGCATTTCAGACGCTATATGCCAGCCGTGTAGTGAACACCCCAGAGTAGGAGTGCAAACCTCAAAGCCAGCCGTTACACCAGGTAACACCACATTATATCACATCAAACATTTGAATCCCATGTAGGAATTGACAGACAACATGCACCCGGTTTAAAACACACGAGGAACGAGCATCAATTTTTTGTAGTGTCTGTCTAGGAGAGGCTACACCCAGTTATATTTAAGCAGCCCCCGGTAAGCACAGCAAATTTGTTTAAAATCTCAGAAATGCGGGGTTGTGTTCCCCCTGAACCACGTCCGCATGGTTGCTGAACATTTTTCTCGCCTCAGCAGGACTCCAATCCAGAAAACCGGTCTCCGTGAGTACACCACTCCGAAGCCAACCATTTGTACACGGTGAGGACGGTGATATCACTGAGACCTTTGAACGTTTGTGGTTAATGCGGCTCATTTGGAAGGTGCGCAGAGCCCAAGAAAAATTCTGGGTTCCAGAACCCTATGCCCCCCTCTGCTGAACTCCTTTGGAGTGAAGAGAAGCATTTACACTTCAATTGTAGAATTGAACAGTTGACGAGGGT